GAAAATTCTGTCATCTTATACTTACCCTCATGTCATTACAAACCCATAAGACTTTAGTTCATCTTCAATGAAATCTGGGAGATTTCTGCCCCTCCATTGAAAGTCTGATGATTCATAATGTTCGTAAAGAGATCCAAAAATAAATCCATATGAATGAAGTGGTTTAATTCAATTCTTATGAAGAGACAATTGCTTTATATGATGAACAGATGTAATTTAGGTATTTATTCACTTTTTTTTTTATCTGTCAGCATCAGCGTTTTGGGTGAATAGACTTTCAATGGAATAAAAAAAAACGTCTTTTATGTTCTGAAGAACTAGTTTCATACGAGTGTGTAATTTATAACAGAATTGTCATTTTTGATTGAACTAACCCCAGCTTTAATATTCATTGCATTATCTCACATCAGCAAATTTCAAATAGCTCAGTATCATTAATTACAAACAAACAATTCATTAATTAAGTAAGTAATGTCTTGTATATCGCTCTACACTGAACTTACAGATTTTCACTTTTTCCTACATAAAATCACATCATGACTCTTTAATCAATAGTCATAACACTGTTCAGGAATATTCATATCATGTACACATTGATATGGACAAAAAACTATGTCTATTAATTTTTTTAAATCTCACACAAAAATTCTATTTTTCCCAAAATAAAAAAAGTCAAGTCAAGTGTAATTTCATCTTATTTTATGTAAATGTGATTTTCAGCTACAGTGTAGCAGGTTTGTATTCTGTCTGTCTGCAGGACTTCTTTAGACTTTATGTCGTGTGACAAAATGACAGAAACACCAAACTATACAACCAATCAAATGACATGCTTTAAATACAAATCTGTTACCCTTTCAGTGCAGTAAACTAAAGAAGGTGAGTATTTGATATGCTGAAACTTGGTTCTGTTCAGATTATTCCAGTCTGACATAAACACCAGACCACTTCCATTAGAAACCTGTTCGAGACAATCTCTCTTATATTTCTATCACTTAGCCTACCTGTGAGTTTCAGATGTGTCCACAAGAGTCTTTGAATGGCTCAAAAAACATTTAGTTTAACTTTCAGGCATCCATATTGTTGTTAGTTTCGTTTTCTCTGAGTCTCTCACTGAACTACAGTGATGTCAGAGCTCCTCCTGTGTTTGGTGTGTTGTGTTCATGTGTGTCTGGTCTGGGACTGATGTTTCTAGGTCATGAAGAACAGATATCAGCAGATTTACAAAGCTGTTTATCAACTCAAAACTGCTTGTTCAACTTCCACATCATCTAGTCACTTGTGCACATCATGAAAGCAATTTTTCATTCTTTAACAAACTTCCTGTTTGTTGCTACCGTGTGTTTTGAGTTTGAGCTCCGTCAAGTTAATTCTTTGTCGTCTAATTTTCTATT